GTCGCCCCGCCCCCCCCCGGCGTCAGCATGGAGAGCCCGGCTGCTCCCAGATCATCTTCCCAGCTAAGCCTGGCCCTCAGTGGGACCTGCTGGGGCTGCCGCAGGGTCCAAACCCCCAGAAAGCAGCTCCTGGGTTTGTCCTGACTGCAGCCCCCCCAGTGCTTGGACCAGCCGGGCTTTGCCGTGTTCCCATGGGGCTGGCGGGGCACGGCCGGAGGCTGGCACACACCGGCCCTGTCCCCCAGCCCGCCCGGGACCCGGGTTAGCCATGAGCCCCCGTGCACCAGGGATGGGGGGGGCAGAGAGAACACACAAACGTAACCAGGGACAACATCTTTTTTTTTGTTGTTTTGTTTTTTTTTTTAAACATTCAATTTAATACCTTATTAAAAATGAAAATAGTTTATTTTAACCTCTATTGATATAGCAAATACTTAAACCTGCTGTGGGTTGGGGCTGTGAACGTCTCCTGTAGTTGCTACAGCGCTGCGTGAGATTGCACTTGTGTTTCGTTCCTAAAAGCGACTCTGTGAAGGCAAGGCCCGAAGGGACCCCCGGATGACGGGCTCTCCAGCCCTGCTTTGTTACCAGCAAGCTTCGCGCCACCCTACAGCGATGGCACCGGGGCCTGGCCAGGTCGGGGTGGTCATTGCCCTGACGTCCCTCTGAGGAAGGCAGCACCTCGGCGTTGTTAACCCAGAATACACTTCTCTCAATTTGCTTTAAATAAAACCATTAACTGAATTCAAGAGCTACACAGTCTGGAGACAAACTCTGTTCACTGGGATCCCTGTGCCCACTGCGCCGCCCCGATGCCTCGGGGACCACGAGTGAAAATGAACTGCGAGAGAGATTTCGGGTGGGGATGGAGAAATAGCGCGAAGCCCAGAAGAAGAGAAGCTCCTTCCCCTGGTTCTTTCAGGTTGCCTTTGTGCATCTAATCCAGGGGGGCCCAAAGTCCCCAGGGAGACTCATGCCAGGCTCCGGGGCTACTCTGCTGCTCAGAGATCCTGGAGCGCTGCCCGCACTGCCTGTGCAGGGATGGCCCAGCAGGCAGGGAGCGGCAGGGTGTCCTTGCCGGGGCGGTGGTGGGGTTGGACCCACCTGGATTCAGCACCATCGAGCCCCTCGGTTGCCCCAGCCTCAGTCGCGCCTCTTGCCCTCCTTGGGCCTGGCGATGCCGTCCTTCCCTGCGGCCGCCGGCTCCCAGGGCTTTCTGCCCTTCTGCTGCCGCCAGTCCCGCTTCGGGCTCTCCCCGCCGCTGTCAGCCCTGCCGGGACGGCCCTTCCACCCCTCCTTCCTGGGCTCGTCCCGCTCCCGCCGGCTCTCCTTCCCCTCCCGGCCCCGCTTCTTCTGGGGCTGCTGCTCTGGCTCCCGGGGGGCCCTGGGGGCTCTGCTGGGCTTGTCCTCCAGCACCCTGTCCTTGGCTCGTGCCTCCCTCCGGCTGCTCCGCTCCGCCTGGGCGGCACGGCCCTCCCGGGCCTTCTCCTCCTTCTTCTCTTCCTTCTTCTCCTTCTTCTCCTCCTTCTTCTCTGGCTTCTTCTCCCGGCTCTTCTTCACCTCTGCTGCATCTGGTGACACCTCTGGGACATCCGTGGGTTCTTCATCCCCTTTGTCCGGTGCTGAGCGGCCAAACCACTTCTTGAAGATCCAGGGCTCTGCCTGCGGGTGGGACGGAGGGGACCAGGTGCCGGTGATGCAGCCCAAGGGACTGGGACCCCTCTCCATCCCTCGCCCCAGGGACGAGATGCTCCCCATCATGGGAGGTGCCCTGAGGCACCTGTTTGTCCCCCCACCCCAGACCCGTACCAGGTTGCTGTCAGCATCACTGTCATCATCACCGTCGTCATCACCACCGTCGTCACCATCATCGTGCTTGAACATGCTGCTCTCGGGCTGGGCGGGCTGGGCAGTCACCACTTCTTGGACCTCCTCCTCCTTGGCGCTGACCACCTCTGGGAGGGGAGAGGGACAGGTCACCGTCAGCAGGGGACAAGCCTGTTTGGGTGTCATGTCCCAGACATGGGGTCCCAGGGCCACCCCACCCTGGGACGTGGCCCCATCTCAGCCTGGCTCCGGGGTATCGGGGCAGCCTAGAGAATCCGAACCCACCGTGAAGGGGAGGTGGTGGAGGGTCCTGCCTGCCGCGGCTGACTGCTTCCCTGGAGCACGGCGCTGGAAGAGAGGGGAGAGGAGGCAGGAGGAGGCAGGAGGAGGCAGGAGGTGGCAGCAGGGCCTGCCCACCCCGTCCCCCTCCGTCCAGCTCCCAGCTCACCTTGGAGCACCTGGAAGGTGACGCTGAGCAGGGCGACGACAGAGGCCACCAGGATGCACTTGTTGAGGGTGAGCCCTTCCCAGAGGAGCGGCTCCTCTGCGGAGTCCAGGCTGGGGGGCTCCACCTTCCTCTGCACGGGGAGGCTCTTGGGAACTGGGGACCCCCCAAGGAAAAGAGCATTACTGGGAGAGCTGGGAAGTGGCAAAAGGGGTGGGAAGGGCAGGGGCAGGGGCAGGAGCTGCCTGTTTGGACCACCAGGGTGGGGAAAAGAGTGTCATGGGGGCTGAGTCCGAGGTGTTTGGGCCACCATGGCGTTATGGCACCCTGGGGCACAAGCGGGGAAAACCTCTGCCCGTGCTCCCGGCTCTGCTGCTCCCTCCCAGCAGCAGATCTGGGCAGGCAGAGGGGAGGAGGAGCGGGATTTGGCAGGTGGTTGAGAAGCCCCGTCTCCATGTTGCTGAGCTCCCAGGGGACTGACTGGGAAGAGCAGAGCTCATCCCATCACTGCTCCGTGGCCAGGCGGTGCCTCCCGGGCTGGCCGGGATCCAGGACAGGGTCTATGCCTCTGTGGCCACCTGGGGCCAGGCTGGCCATTTGGGGGCAGAAAAGGGCTTTCCTGCACACCTACCTGGAGGCCCGGCAGTGCTGCCTTTGGCTCCCACCTTCTCCACCCGCTTCTTCTCCACTGCTTTCTTGTCCACACCGAGTGGCGCTGGCTCTGGCATGCTCAGCTCAGGCTCGTCTGGATCCCACTCAGAGACGCCAAGCCAGGTCCTCGCCTCCTCTAGCCCCTGCGGGGAGGTGTGCGAGCATGGCCGGGGGTGCAAGAGCATCGCACAGCCCCGTGGGGAAAAGAAGCAGCATGGGGGCCATGGCTGCACGTGTGTGCCCCCTCCCAGAACAAGGGGTGCTCAGCGCAGCTGGGGTGGGACCCGGTCCCTGTGCTCTGCAGCACGTGCTCACACTGCCCGGGTCCCCCGGCGCTGGGCCGATGCTGCCGCCGGCCCCGACCAGCACTGACCAGGCTCATCACTGGCCCCTCGAGCACCTAACCCCAGTGCGTGTATTTGCATCGGCAGCCTTAAAAACACATTGGGGTTTATTTTTTTTTGTCTGCTAAGATGGATTTAGCCACTAGCTGGCTCCGTGCTGCAGAGCAGGCGCCGGGGTGTGGCCCCACTGCACATGGGTGGGATGGTGGCTGCTGGCCCCCGAGCTGCGCTGGAGCAAGCCCACCCCAGAGCAGCCCTCGGGGCTGGATTCCCCCCCAGCCCGGATAAGCATGGCTGCACACATCCGCTGAGGGTGGTGAGTCGGACCCAGGGCACATGCGCCGGCGGGGTCAGTGCGTCAGCAGGAGAGGGAGTGCACGATGCATCGGGGTCTGGGCTCGGTGCTGCCAGGGATGAGGGGTTTGGTGGCCAGGCTGGCTGCTGGTCTGTGACAGCAGCACCGGATCTGTGCCACGAGGGAGAGCTGCCCACCGGCACGGATCAGTGACAGCGACAGCTGAAGGACGTGGCCTTTGGCTCCCCCGGGATGGACGTGGTGCAACGCCCCGCAGAGCCCTCCTGGGCTGAATGCCACCATGGGACGGCACCCCACTCAGCCCCCTGCCCCGGTGCAGGGAACCCCCCGGCAGCCCCCGGCCCCGGGATGCCACACACTTACATGGGCTCTACCGCTCTCCCCGTCGCTGCTCACCAGTGCGTCAGCATCTGTTAAAGGCAAGCACAGTGCAGTCCGTTAGGAGGTGAATTCGGAGA